CTTCAGACGGATGAACACTACAGGATTATTTGCTTCTCTCAGACTTCAGGGAGGCATGGGCCCCTGTGCTCCTCGTGTGTGGAGTCAGTGCGACTGAGCGGCTCCGTCATATCGTCATCACAATCTTTGACTTAGATAAATTTTAATGATCCACAAGGGAAATTACTTGGGCACAGAAGCTCACAAATCAACAATATTGTAATGACAAAGAGAAAAAAAAGTAAATGCTAATAATAAATACTAAATGAGTAGCAAAAATAGCAAGAGACTTGTGTCAAATAAGGCATAATTATATAAATCTATATGTGCAAGTAACAATAAAATCAAATACAAATAAGTAGTAAAAATATCTCAGCAATATACAAGAGGTGATACAGGTGAGCGCAGTTCCTCACACGTGTCATGTTTACATAAATCCATAAATCCACAGCTTTCTATTTGTGGAAAACATTTTCTGAACTACATTTGAGAAATAATAAAGAGATAAATAGTAAGATTTTAAATCTTTTCTCTCCTCATGTCTTGTCTTCACTTTTATTTTCACGTTTAAAAAATCACTCAAAGATCCTGAAGTGTGTGGTGGACTTTAGGCTCCCAGTTTAGTCTCATTTCAGTGTCTGTATCATTTCTATTTTCAGATAATTACGCGTCTGAAGGTTGGGTGTATTTCCAAGGCAGTGTGTACCTGGGCTCCACCACAGCACAGAGCTGGGAGCAGAGCCGGCAGTACTGTCAGCAGAGAGGAGCAGATCTCATCATCATCACAAGTGTCCAGGAGCAGGTCTGGAGCTAAACACCACAGTTTCCACAAAGGATGTCACAACATAAAATGTGTGTTTATTGTGAGAAGATTAAGCTTGATGCAAATGATAACTTCTATTCAAATGTCAAATGTAATGAAATATGTAGCAAAGACGACCTGGATATTTTTTTGAGTAGCTTATTTCAGTTTGTTGATATGTACTAGTCTCAAAAATTTGCATTAAGACACAAAGATTTACCTTTCTTGACATGAGTGTCTCCTGGTGAAGTATTCACATGTCATTGTCATCCACCCACAGCTCGCGGTCCACTGTGTGACCTGTCACTATTTATGCTCTGCAAAACCATAGAGTCCCCAGAGACCGGAGCTAACTGGTGCTGTTGTGCACAGAGCCTGTCGTATCAAAACTCACTCTCCAGTTTGGTGTGCGAGTCCCAGAGAAATGAGGCGTGTTTTATTTAGGTTAAATGCTTGTTTCTCACAGCTGACGCCTTCAGATCCCTGAATGTGGCTTTTACTGTTTCTACAGACATTTGCGAGTACATTCAGCGGGCGCCGATGGATTGGACTGACTGCAACCCAGTCTGAACCTAGAAAGTGGAGATGGGTGGACGGCTCTCAGCTCAACACAAGGTTCACACAGCAACATTTTAAACCAACACTGAGTTTCAGAAGTGATTTTAAACTCTTATTTAATGACTTTCAGATTTTGGTACAGTGGAGAGCCAAATAACGAACACAATGATGAGTTCTGTGTTGAAACCAACTTCAGAGGCACCGGGAACACCTGGAATGACGAATCCTGTACTGAAAAGCTTCTGTGTATCTGCCAAAAGAGACTGACATTTTAAGGTTTATTTCAATATTTACTCATACATAATATGACTTATCCACATTGTGTGTGTGTGTGTGTGTTTCATCACAGTGGTAGTAGTAGTTGTACTGGAGCCCCCCTCAAAAAGTAAAAATATCACATGAAAAAAATATGCGTAAGATTTATATTGTGGTTGGTGGTTAAAATGAAACAGAGACAAATTTATTTTATTAGAAAAACTCTAGAAAAGTAAACTGCACAGTCCAGCACCACACTCGCTTGTTAACCCGTGATTATATCAAAGTTAAATCTGTACCTGCCTGGACCCGTTAACATTTCACATGTTACTCGACTGTGCCCGTGATAAATCAGGGTCAGCCCATTAGTCCGACAGCCCAATAGTCCCGGACTAAACCAGGAGCACAGGCGGTGAGCTGATCACCTCCGCTGATCAGTTATATGTAATAAATACACTAAAGTCACTCTCTCAACTTGGTCTGCCATTGTTCCAGGAAAAGACCGGGAAAACTGCACTTATCTTTTCTTTTCACTTTTTTCATCATTCATTTGATTTACCTGACCCACCCGTGTGTAATCACTACCTGCTCATGCCTGTGGGTACCAGGCACGATACAGGCTTGGTGTGTGGCGTGGCTAAATATCAGGTGAAGCAGAGCAGACTGAAGGCGTGGTGTGGCCATAGACTGTATAAAAGAAGTGGACTAAGCGAGTGTGACATCACCCATAATGTTTTAGAGCTGCTAAAATGAGGCTCCTGATGCTCACGGTTACAGGAGTGAATCTGTAGTCAGGCTCTATGTTATGAATAGGATTTTTTTGATGGACAAAGTAGCGAAAAAAAAAAAAAAAAATCAGGATCATGTAGAGTGGGTTAATATGAACACAAGTCTCAGACACTTGTGTCTCTTTCACTGTGACAGCTCTTTATGTTCTTGTGTATTTAGACAACATTTTGTTCAAAACAAAACATATTTGTGACAATGACGCGAGAAAATTTTGTCAATTCAACGCAGAAAGGTTGTTTTGGTTTTCAGTGTATATTTATGCAGGACCTTAAAGACTGCAAAGATTTATCAAAATCAATGTCTTTGTCTCTCTTTATAAAATGTTGATTTTATAGGAACTGAAATAATTGAAAAAACTGTAACAACAAACAAAAGTTATTTCAAGTTAAACAGCTATTGAACAAATGTCGTCCTCAAAGTGATCCATAAAAGTGATAAAGTGATCAATGTTGTTTCCTCGCCACAAACATACATACATACATACATACATACATACATACATACATACATACATACATACATACATACATACATACATACATACATACATACATACATACATACATACATACATACATACATACATACATACATACATACATACATACATACATACATACATACATACATACATACATACATACATACATACATACATACATACATACATACATACATACATACATACATACATACATACATACATACATACATACATACATACATACATACATACATACATACATACATACATAACATACATACATACATACATACATACATACATACATACATACATACATACATACATACATACATACATACATACATACATACATACATACATACATACATACATACATACATACATACATACATACATACATACATACATACATACATACATACATACATACATACATACATACATACATACATACATACATACATACATACATACATACATACATACATACATACATACATACATACATACATACATACATACATACATACATACATACATACATACATACATACACATACATACATACATACATACATACATACATACATACATACATACATACATACATACATACATACATACATACATACATACATACATACATACATACATACATACATACATACATACATACATACATACATACATACATACATACATACATACATACATACAAGTTGTGTTTTATTTCATTCACACATAATGTTTAACACAAATCCTTTACATTTAGACTGAGGTCTTCTCTCAAACAGAAAACTCTGTTTCACCTTGTGATGTCATGTGGTAATACCAAACATGCTCCACTGTGTTTTTAAACTCCATACAGCTTGACTAGAATCATTTGGATACCTTCAGCCCTGAAATTGCACATCACAACTGAACAAAAAGTAAAAGGTATCACTACATGACATCACAAGGTGGAACAGAGCATTTTGAGCTTTGCTGATGTAGACAGATTATTATTATTAAAGGATTACTCAAACACCCTGGGCCTTTCTGTGTAGAGTTTACGTGTTTCTCCCTGTGTCTGGATGGGTTTCCTCCGGGCGCTCCGGTTTCCCCCATCAACCCAAGAATAGCTGATAGCCAAGGTCAGTTAAATACAATCAATCACTGAAACTGCCCAGGGACTACAGGTGGAAATTAGCACTGGTGCTACAACCTGGTACAATGCATCTCTCCTGTTAAGGTTAATGTAAGAATTATGTGCTGTCCCTGTCTCAAAAAAAAACACACAAAAACAGTTTATTGTCAGTGCATTGAAATGCAGTTTGTTCATCTGACTGACCAGTGTGTGTGTGTGTGTGTGTGTGTGTGTGTGTATTGTTTCTACCTAAAAGGTATATTTGTAAAAGCAGAACATTTTTTGCTCTCTGTAGATAACAATAAACTATTTTTCTTTAACTCAGAAGTAAGAAGTGAAAGCACCATTAACTGTTTCACTTTGTTTCACTTTGCTGTCTAATAAAAGTCATTGTGAAATCTAGGGCGAGTTAGACAGACTTAAATACTCCCTTCCTCTTCCTCTTCTCCTTCCTCCTTTCACACTCACTTTTGAGAAGCAGTTTTTGTTACACAAGAGAACCCCGCAAATGGAAATGGCAGAGTGCTTTCCAGCACAGATTGAACAGCAGGATTAAAGCACCTGATCAACAACAGTGTACACTGCTGACGCACGGACACTGTAGTGTCCCTGTAGGGACAGCAACTGCTGAAACTTTATTCAACAGTTTGAACCTTGAAAGAGTTTCTGTTAGACAAAAACTGATGGAATTTGTCAATGTTCCAGTGATAATGAAAGCCACATGAATCAAAGGCAGACCTGAAATTTGAAATGTTGTTTTGTGTTTGTTGCTCTAAGTCCCTCCTCCACTTGCTATTCAAATCAAGTCACTCCCCCTTTTATAATGGAACTACTTCCATCACATCAGGTTTGTGAAATTGTTGTGTATTGTTTTGTATCATGCTTTTGTATATTTATTTCTATAATCTTATTAATTAATTTTATTTATTTAAAGCATACATACATTTTAAACATTTTAAAATGCAAGATAACAGGTGCAAAACATTAGTCACAAGACCTATTCATTCAAATGATAAAGTAAAAATAAAAAGTCATTGGCCCTTTTGAAAAACAATAATGATAACTGAACTTTCATTTGTCTAAGGAGATACTGAAAATGATTCTTGTTAGGTCTGTTGTAGCATGCACCTCTCAGAGTGATGTAATGTACTGCTGAATGCCACTATCTACTTAGAAACGAGAAATGAGGAACCAGAAAAAACCACATGAGAAACACATATGTAATATGTTTCTCACAAGTAATGCATCAAAGATCTGTGCTGTAGAGCTCCAGCTCACATTTATATCAGACCTGAGTCTGCAGAGAGAAGATGGAGGAGCACAGGGTTCATGTCAAAAGGAACAGGAGAAACTCTGGAAGTGTCTCTGATTCACAGACTGCCACCGAACCAGGTAAGACTTTATTTAAAAGGCCCATATTACTGTATTTTCTGATCTGTTATAATGTTGTATCCTCATCAAAAACACACAGTTGTGTTCTGTTGCATTCACACATATTTAACACACAAATGCTGCATATTTAAGCTGAGTTCTCTCAAATTGAAAACACTCTGTTCCACCTTGTGATGTCATGTGGTAATCCAGGTAGAGCCCCACTGTGTTTTTAATCCCCATACACCTTCACTTGAGTAAAACTGGATGATTTCAGACCTGGAATTGTCAATCTCTAATGAACTAAAGGTAAAAGCTGTTAAGATGAAAACTCCCACGACATCACCAGGTGGAACAGAGCATTTGGAGCTTTGGACATGTAAATTAATAATTCAGGTTCACTCAAACACAGATAGAGACTTTATTGAGGAAATTAAAATTTCGGCAGTAGCAACAATGAAACAAACATAACAACATAGCAGTTCATCCTTTTGCTTTTATCAGTTAAAGGGATGTGTGTGGGACAGCAGCCTGTTCCCAAAGGTGCTGTCCTGTGTGTGAATGAAACAAAACACAACTTTAAGTATGTTTATAATGAGGAAACAACATGGCTTAAAGCTCACAAAGTCAATTTGTATAATATAGGAATTTAAAATGTTCTTTCCTCTCTGATCTTTAACATTATGTTTGTAGGGAAATGGATTCTCCTGGTCTGCATCAGCTTTGGTCTTCTGTGCATCATACAAGCTTCTCTCAATGTTTATTTACGTCTCTGTGAGTCACATAATGAAGTAAAACAATATTAATAATCACAGCCACAAAGAAATAAATCACTTTTGGATTTGTAGACCTTCCTCCAGACATCGACATGAGCCCATGTGACAATGTAACTGCTGAGAGGGACACACTTGAGAAACGTAAATCTCTTTAACTTTTACTCTAAATTTTTTTATTAGCAAAACAAGAATACATGTAATGAGACACAAACAAAATTATTTCTTCACGCCTATGCTTTTTCTTTTCACTAACCATTACAGTTCTTCAAACTAGTCGTCAAGACCTGTCGAAGCAAACTGATGAGCTGCAGAAAAGCCATTCTTGTGAGTAAAATGAGGAACTTGAGACACATGCTGCTCAAATGTTCTGTTACAAATGTCACAAATATGAATGAGATTTTTTAGACCATCTTAACAATTTCACTGCCATATAATGGAGATGACCCAGATAGCAAAAATATACACTGGCCGCTCTGGAAAAGAGTGACTTTCAGAGCTGCAACAAGCCTAAACTGTAGATACATAGACACCAAGCCACATTCCTTTACTTTAGTATGTTTAGTGACTGTTGAACGCTGCCTTCACCTCATCCGGTGTCCTGTTGATTTGAGCTATTTAGCGCTATTGCACATGTGCATGTCCCCAAGTGCTGTTTAAATGCTCATCAGTTTCAGCTCCCGAGGCACAGATGAGATAAATTTCCCTTCCTAGATCATGTGTAAATATTTTTGAAATAAATGTTTGTTATGTTTACTCTGTTGTCCCTTGTCCTCACCCATCATGATTAAAAGCCAAGTCCATTATTATTGGTGCTAAATGAACACAATTGAATTGCAGGAATTGTCCCCTCTTCAATGTCCCCAGTGTCACAGGTATGCACCCTCTAGTGGATGCATTATTTGGGAGAAGATATTAGTTGTTGTTGCGCCGGAAGTGGAAGTTCACAAAGTAGATAAACCCCGCCCACAAAACCCGGAAGCGTGATAATAGTCTATTATGAACCCATAAATCTAGACCAGAACAACCACAACTAAACTATAACCACAACCAGGCCTAGACTGGTAATAGGGCATACTGGGCATTTTCCCAGTGGACCAACAGTCTTCAGGGGTCGATGTTGTTGTTTTTTGTTGTTTTTACTTAGAGACTGGCCCACAATTTAGAGGGGGCGGCCCATTGGTCCATCTTCAATATAGACAGAGAACTAAACCAATCAGGATATATTAGCCTACGAAAGTGGCCCCACCCCCTTCCCTGCACTGATCCCCGCCAGTTTCATAGTGTTGAGCGTGAAACATGAAGAAAGCTAAGCGAAAGAAAGGGGAAAGAGAAGTTGTGGGCTAAGTGATTGAAGAATCTCGCTATAGACACGCTGGAGGGGCTGCTGTAGCCTCCATTTCCTCAGTGCAGGGTGTTGCAAGTGAAGACAGCAGCAGTGGACAGAGAGAGGAGCAGCCAGAGATTATTATACATGAAGGGCAATAACATCAACGGGAAAGATGTTATTGTCCTTCTTCCTACGGGATTTGGGAAAAGCTTAATATAGCAGTTTGCCCTGTTAGCGGCGCATTACATATGTTACAGCCAAAAAGCAGCGATTAAAAAAGTACCTGCCTACTGTTGAGTGAACAAATCCTAATGCCACCACGTTAACCAGGCTAGCATTCCCCAGGACAGTTCATTGAACAATTTTGGATTTGTAGACCTTCCTTCAGACATCGACATGAGCCCATGTGACAATGTAACTGCTGAGAGGGACACACTTGAGAAACGTAAATGGAATTATACATCATCTCTTTAGCCTTTACTCTAACAACTTTTAATGAGCAAAAAACAAGAATACATGTAATAAAAAACAAACTAAATTATTTATTTCATTACACCTATGCTTTTTCTTTTCACTAATCATTGCAGTTTTTTTCAAACTACTAGCCAAGACCTGTCTAAGCAAAAAGATGAGCTGCAGAAAAGCCATTTGTGAGAGTAAAATGAGGAACTTGAGACACATGCTGTTCAAATGTGGTATTACAAACACTGTGCTCTTTTTCAGCCTTCAAAGAGTGTCAGCAATCTCTGTCCAGCTCAAGAAATGAATTGGAGAAACATCAGTCCTGTAAGTAAACTGCCACTGTTTAACTGTGAATGTTTGGTCACAGTTTATTCAGCTGACCTGCCATGAACTCAGCGATAAAAAAAAAAAAAAAAAGTTCTGAGATTCGTTTATCAGATGTGGATGTGATTTTGTGAGCTTCAGGTAGCCTAAGCAGCACTGACCTCAATACATCAAACTTTGCTTCATGAAAACTATTTGTGATTGTCACAAGAACTTTGCTCTGTGCAAAGATGGACAAAAAACAAGCTCCAAATTACCCTGGCGAAGACTGAGCTGTCACTGTCAACACAAACGGAGTGAGTGGATGAGGTGGAGACTCGTAGGAACCAATAAAGACAACTGAGATGATGCACAAGCCCACATGTGTAAACAGGAGAAAGAAATCGCTAAAGATCATGAATATTCCAGAAAAGTCCCAAAGCAATTACATGGTTAACTATGTGGAGTATCTCATCCACTGAGGCTGAGAAAAGCAGAATGTGTAAATGCAAACACGTGAAAAGTGTTTGCAAATGTCCGGGTTTTCAGTACCGTTCATTGGGGGCATTAAACTGAGCGTCTCTCGTAATGTCTGTGACTCAGAAGGAGCGAGACACAAACAGTCGGTCAGTCTGAAACATACCGAAGCACAAATGCGCATTAACAATGACTTGTACAAGAAATTTCCGTTTTCCGTCACGGTCGGGATAAGTGGGAGTCCATGTGCACAGGTTGTGAGGAGAGAGAAATCCGCGAAGTAGTCAACATTATATTTTACAATGATTCTATCTGTTTTAAGTCTGTAAAACCCCTCAGCACACACTTTATACACTTTTCTCACACAGGACAGGTGCAACTCTTTTTACATCCTTCTTAAAACTTATCGCTGCTGCCGTTATGTCGTAATTTTCCTCCTTCTTTATGTAACGAACCCAAGATTCATTTATTCCGTAATAGAGCCGACAGCGCAGAGTCCTGCACGGGTCCAGTTTTGAGATTACATCAAACTTTTGCGCTGCCTACGCCACGAACTGAACCAAGACTAAACCAGGACTAACCCAGGACTGATTCCAGGACTGAAGAGGAGCACTAATCCACGACTGAACTAGGACTAAACCAGGACTGAAATAGGACTCACTGTCAGGACGGGCTCGGAGGTGACGCAGGAGAAAGGACCGGCTCAGCTCCGCACCTCACGGAGTTTAAATGCAGCAGTTGCCCGATCGCGCTTTGCGGACAAAACTGCTCGGCGTTCTCTCTCTTAAGTCCAAGATTAGTCCTGGTTTAGACCTGGTTTAGTCCTGACCCACCCATGTGTAATTACTACCGCCCGTAATACACAATACGCGTTCATGTATGTTCTGTATCATCTCTATTTTCA